TTTAAAAAAAAAAGCCCGAAGCCCGGCCGAACCCGAAAAAAGCCCATTGAGCCGGGCCTCGGGCCCAAGAGTTTAAGCTCGCGTGTGTTTCGGGGCGGGCTTGCCCGGCCCAACCATTTTGACACATCTACCTAGCTATATTTATCAGTCGATGTAACGGACTTTAAGCTAAATCTAACCAGACTTCAACCAAGGTACATCTTACCTAGATGGATCTAATAGACCAGGCGTGATTGGACTTAACCCAAGGTATATTTCAGCCTAGCCGACCTATTAGACTATTGCACAAACCTGATTGGACTTAACCTAGGCATAATTTTACCTAACGGACCTATTAGACTCAAAAGACACCCTACCTTAAGACCTGATTACGTCTAACCAGACATAACTTAAGACTAAACCTATCCTGATTATGTCTAATCAGACCTACACCACCGAGTCTATATGGCCCCTTACAAAGTCTTAATCAGACCTATACCACCGAGTCTATATGACCCCTTACAAAGTCTCAATCAGACCTACACCAAGTACTATTCAGACCCCTAACAGCAGTGGCGGATCCAGAAAAAATTATGAGTGGGGGCAATAATTATAATAAATATATAATAAAATTAATAAAAATATATTATAAAAAATATTTATATTTGATCATTAAATTTTATAATTTTTCATTTTTTAAAATATATCCATAATAACTTTTATTTATAATTGTTTAAAATATATATTTTTTAATAAAATAAACTGCAATCACTCAAAAATTGATCACTAATACGATTGCTTAGAGCTATGTTTACAAATTTTGTTAACGGAAAACATCTTCCATCATAGTGTCAACAAATAAAATCAATTAATGTATTAATCAAACCAGTCGAGATCAAATCGTTTTAATTTATTTTCTATTATCATTTTTTAAAAGTCATTATCATGTTATTGATAAGATCCTCTAATATTTTTTTAGCTTAATCAATTTATCTATAATTTTTTTATCAAGTCAAATAAAATACATATATATATATATATAGATATATATAACAATAAATTTGTGAGTATCATCAAAATATAGAAATTGATGAATAAATAAAAAATAGAATTACTTAAAAGTCATAAATGAAAGAAATAATATGATCTCACATTTATTCAATTGTGTAATACAAAATATATACATGAAGAGGTTGCTATATCTAAGGTCACTAAGGAGATACAATTAAGAGAGAATCAATTATACAAGATTACAATCAATTAGAAATAGATTTGATATACTAACATATTATTTTCCTTTAATAAAACTTAAATATTTTTAATTTGATTGTTTTTTAATATTAGATCTATACATAATATTTTTGAGAATTAAGAGAGAAAGATTAAAAAACAGTTGGAAAATAAAAAATAAAGAATAAAAAAGAGACAACACGTAACTTAATTTAAAAAAAAAAAGAGAAATAAAAAAACAAAAGAGTGGAAAGAGGGGGCACAGGTAAAATGTTAATGGGGGCACCTTATATTATTTATCAAAAATTTTAAAAAATTATAAACAAATTAAAAATTTTAGGGGGGGCATGGGACCCCGTTGGTCTATACGTGGATCCGCCTCTGCCTAACAGCCCTAGTTAGACCACCAAAGAACCCTAATCAGATCTAAGCCAACCCTAATTGATTTAGCCAACCCCTGATTTGATAATCATAAGTCCTAGTCAGACACCTAAAAGTCCTAATCAACAAACCTAAGTCATCCCTAATTGACTTACCAATCCGTAATTAGACTTTTAATACCTTAATCAGAACTAAACTAAGTCTAATATGACTTAATTCCCTCTGATCAGATCTTATTAATACCTAGAACTAACCCTACAAACCTGTCCTGATCTAAACCGATCCCTATAGATTTGTACCTAGTTTTTCTAGACTGAATCGACTCCTAAACCAACCCGTTTTAGCCAGATCCTAACTGCTCAGACCTAACTGGTCAAAGTACCGGACTCTATGACTCAAAGCAGGTAATTAGAAGTCAAATTTAGCCTAAACCAGCTAATGCCTAAGGTAGGTTGACTAATAGTAGTCCCAAAAACCTTAAACCAGATTAACCTAACCCTACAACCAAATGTTTAAATCTGATCAGACCTAGACTATGTCAATATAGATATTTTAAACCTCTAATAAGACCTAACCAAGCCTATTTAGATTTATTTACCTACTGATCAGACCTAGACTAAGCTAGACCAACCCATTTGACTTAGACTAGACCTAACCAAGACCTAAATAGCTCTTACAGATCTATATCGACCTAAAACCAGTCAACTTCAGCCTATTTAAATCTAACCCGATCTCTTAACTAGTTAAACCTATTCAATTCAACCTATTCAGACCTATTCTGAACAGAAACCCAAAATCTATGACTCTTATCAGCTCTACCGAGATCTAAGTCTGCCTAACCCTAGTGAATTTTCACTAAACCAAGCCAAATTGGATACTAATCTGACCTATACCAGGGTAAACCGATCACTACAGACCCTAGGCTACCCTAAACTAGTCGAACATGCCCTAAACCAGACACCATCAGACCTAATTAGACCAACCAAACCCTAAGCAAGGAATTCTAGTCCTAACCGGACACTCTAGACCCTATACCGATCAAATCTAGCCCTAATCAACCATCTCAGACCCTGAAACCGATCAATACTAGCCCTGACCAAATAAATCAGACCTTAAACATACCTCTAATAGCCTAAACCAATTTGAAATTACCTAAAACTGGACCCAATTAACCTAAATCGTACAACACTAGTCCTAACCGGACAAATCAGACCCTAAATCAGACCTAAACCAGTCTAACTTGGCCTAAATTGATCTCTACCGGACTCAATTGACCTAAACCGCTCTAAATTAGACAGAACCGAACAAATCAGATTCTTAATCAGATCTAAATCGGTTTGAACCGATCTGATTTGGCCTAAACTAGACCTAGACTGACCTGAACCGGTTCAATTTACCCCAAACCGGACCTGAACCAGTTCGATTTGACCTAAACCGGTCAATTGTTGACCAAATTTGTCAACGAATTGATCGAGCCAGTCTGAACCGGTCTGAACGGCCGAAACCCGGTCTGAGCTGGCGGAACTAGGTCGAACCCGGTCTGAGCCGCCGAGAACCGGAACTGGATCAAATCGAACCAGGTTCGATTGACCCAAACCAGGTTAAACCGAAAATTAGATTCTGAAACCCTAATTTCGGAGAAACCCTAGCCGCCAAGTCAACCGAGTTAGCTTGGTTGTTGACTCACCCCGATCCCTCCACTCAGTCCTGACCGAGTTTCACCAGAATCAGACTTTCTCCGCCGAGTTCCACCGTCGGACTCAAATCGAAGAAAAATGCGGAAAAAATCGAGTCAAGAGACTCATCTGGTTTACCTGGTCCGAGACGAGTCTTCACCATGGCGACTCCCAGAGGCTTCAACTCGACAGATCTTGTCACCGACAACCCCGTGACTGTTGGATTTGCCTCCCACCCTCACTCGTACGTGCGAGAAAGAAGAAGAGACACCGAAGTTTTAACGTGTTCAGTTACCGAGCGATGCTCGGGCCTTCATCTCGATTGGACGGTGCCGACGAATCCACTAGAGACGGAAACAACCGAGAAGAGTAACATGATGGCACTCCACAACACAATCGGAGGCTCATCGAGAAATACCAAGAGCAAGAACAAGAACGACTCGGCCCTTGCTTACCTCGCACCGTCGCCGTAGATCCTAGCTCTGTCGTCGCCGGGAAACTCCTTCGTCACCTTGTCTTTCTCCCTCTCTCATGATCGCCTCTGTGATCAATCCCCCTCTTCCTCGAGTATCGTACGTTCAATTGATGATGAAACAAAGCATTAGGGTATTGATTCTAAAATCCTAAAACGCAACGTTTTGGTTCGGGATTAAAATCCCGCTCGATTTCATGCTAAACTGAAAACCTCCGATAGAACGGAGTCTCCTCTCTCTCACCAACACATGGGCCAAGCCCAACAATTAACATCATTTAATGTATAAAAAAATTAATTAAAAAGATATGGTATGAAATCTATATAATAAATTAAAGATAATTTTGATACGTGTATCGAGACCGCATTCAGTACGCCCCCGAGAGACGTGGGACACTTGTATTTAATTCGATTAATAAATTAAAATTCATTTAATTAGTGACAGATGGATCGAGCCATATATCCGCGTGATTTAATTCGTTTTATATGATAATTTTCCTTCACCGTACACTGATATTAGTGGTTGATATATCGACAGGCCCAAAGCCCAAATTTGTAGGCCCGCGGACGATAAATCCACGTGGACTCCACATAGACATTAATATTTATTTCTTGTTGTATTTCTAATTATTACACAAACCAAATACTCGCACCCAAAAATATACTGGCCACCAATTTTGTATATTTATTTTCATGGGACCAAAATATATTAAAACTACGACTGAGCATTTCGGAAATCGGTTCGGATTCGGGATTAGAATGTATCGGTTCGGTTTTTTTGATTTTATAAAAATAGATACCAATTGGTTTTTATATTATATTCGGTTCGGATCGATTTTGGTTTCGGTTTGATTCAGTTTCGGTTTTTATTAAAAAAATTAGATATCCCTTAAAAAAATTCAGATTTTTAGAAATTTTTAAAGTTTGATTCGATTTGATTAACCGTTCGAGGAAAAATATCATATTTTTCGGTTCGGTTCGATACGAAACTAAAACGCCCACCCACCCCTGATTATAACAATGTTTTCGTTTTTGCCGACATAAATATCAGACATTTCATGGTGGCCCAACTAGTGAATAGTAAATACCCCAAGGTCAGTCCATTACAACAAAATTAAAAATAATATACGGTGAAAATTAAAAATGAAATAATTGTATTATACAATATGATTATTGATCTTAGTATGATTTATAATCTACAAAAGATTCGTCAGAAATCTAATCTCGCTTATGCACACAGATGACATGAATGAGCTTTCAGATCAATGAAATGCCGAAATTTTATTGAGAACCTCGAACCCAGACATGGAATCATGAAGTTGCATTCTTTAATTATTTAATTAATTACTCTGATTAATTTAATTAATTAAAGAAAAAACTTTGTCCTGCCATTAGAGATCGAGGGAGAGGATTACACTGCAGGAATCAGAAGGGAGGAAAAGTTTTTCCGTATCCGCCGATGTTGGTGAAAAGTCCAACCAGATCTTGCTTGTAAGGGAGATACGACTTTCTCTTGTCCTCTTCCTTCATCGCCTTGTTCCTCAGGTAAAACCTCTCATGTGCTGAAATCTTCTCCTTCGATTTCTTCTCCTTCTTCGAAGATTCGTCTTCTCGGATTACTCTCTCGCCATTGCTCTTCGCGGGATTCGAGTTTATGAAAACCAGCGACTGTTTCCCGTCACTGCGGCTTCTCCTCAGCAGATCCCTAATTCGCCACCGTTTGGCCGACCAGGTCGATGTCGACGATGATCCCGTCGAATTGCTCTTTCTGCAGCCTCCGCTTGGCGACATCTCCGCTATCGATCTCGCCGGCGTCCATGGACAGTAGATCTCGCTCGGGATTCCCTCCAACTCATCATCTTCATCGTCCGATGACGACGATGGTACCGGAGGCGGAGGATCGTCGCGATCGCGGAGGAAGAGATCCCTCAGCGGAGTCATAACCGTCGCTACCAAATCTTCCCCATCAGATCCGACGCCGTAGCAATCAGAAATGAGATTCTGATCGAATACCGGAAAAATTAGTCCACTGTCGCCGGAAGCCACAGCAGCCGCGTGGGGATCAGTCCGGAGATTGACGAATTCAAACCCATCCTCATCATCTACACCGCACTTAATAACTCTGTCTTCCTCCCTCCGAGAATCATCCGATTCTCCGGCGACTTCGCGGCTAACCCGCTCGGCGGTTTCTGCGAGGCGATCGGCGGAGTAGCTGCTGAAACTTGGACAGAACGACGCCGTGCAGATACTGCAATCGTTGTCTCTCTCCATCTAAAGCTCGGATCGGATGCCTCTCTCTCTCTCTCCAAGGCTTGACAGTTGACGAAGGAAAAGAGCGTGAGCGTTTCTTTAATGGCGTTTTGTCTTCTTCTTCTTCAGTAAAGCGCCGTTTATATAGGAGAAGCTGTTGGGTCATAGAAAGTAAGGGCATTTACGGTATTTAAGGAAAGCTTAATTAAGTAACCCATAACGTGGACTTTCTAGAAGCAAATCCGCTGCTTGACGGAGAAGTTTAGGTGGAGATCATTAATCAACTTGACAACGAGATATGCTTTTTTTTAATCGGATATTAATTTCACCATACAAATCCAAACAAGGTTATAAAGAATAATAAGAAACATAAATTAAAAATGAATAAATTTCTAAGTTAGCTTGCGACTTATTTAAGTATTAGGGAATAGGGACACATAAGTTCAGATCATATTTATAGAGATTGAGATATAGATGGAAATCTTGGGGTAATTTTGTTGGAGTCGAATTTGAATTTTGAATATGAGTTTTTTCTATTCTAAAACCCCATTTTTTTTTTAAATAAATGTGTTACATAATTATATGAAAAAATAGCAGATATATTTTGTTCCAACCAATATACCTAATGAATTAAAATTCTTGCAAAGACCAGTTTTTTCCATATTAAAATTAGCTTTGATTATTGATTTTGTATTAATTGAACCTAAATTTCTTTAGATCATTAGTCTATATACACGGGCGCATAGTCATATGTATTTATACACATTCGTGTATATATGTACGTGACTCTTAAGTTAAATAGTAAGTCCAATAAAGTCATTATAATTATTAAATAAATTGTGGGAATGCTTACGTAATTGCTGACAAAAACGAAGGAAAATCATGGCTATCGCATGATTCATTCTTTATGTAATTTTCTTCTCGAAACCGAAGGTTCCATTCCTTTTTTTTTTTTTTCATTTTAGGACCTCTCTTTTCCCCGCTTCAGATTTGTAACAAGAAGGGAAATGTAGAGAGAGTTTTGGAAAAATATTTTCTTGTTGTTTCTTATTACAACCCCAATAGTGTTTATATACAACTGTGAAAAGAATAAAAATGATTACAAGTTGTAACGATCCTATAATTAGAGCTGCAGATTACAGGGTACCTACAAACATGTAAGGGTAAAAGGTTGTCTGCTAAACAACCTCCCTTGCTCCTGCACATGTCAGTAACCTGTAGTGAAAAACCACCAAAGAATAATCCCAATGCTTGATACTCCCCCTCAAGATGGGGAATACAAGTGATGTATCCCCATCTTGGATAGAAGATATCGAAACCTGTCAGCTGCCAAGGGCTTGGTTAATAAATCTGCAACTTGTTCCGAGCCAGAGACGTGCAATGGTTTGAGAAATCCGGTCTTGATCTGTTCCCGAATATAGTGGCAATCCAACTCGATGTGTTTGGTGCGCTCGTGGTAGACGGGGTTGTTGGCAATATGAATGGCTGATTTACTGTCACAAAACAAAGTAATAGGTTTTGGAACAGGAAACTTCAGATCAGAAAGTAGAGAACCCAGCCAAACTAATTCACAGCAAGTTTGAGCCATGGAGCGGTACTCTGCCTCAGCAGAACTCCGAGAGATAGTAGTCTGCTTCTTGACTTTCCAAGAGATGAGAGACGTTCCAAGAAAAACGCAGTAGGCAGTCACAGATCTTCTCGAATCTGGGCAACTTGCCCAGTCAGCATCACAAAAACTACTGAGCGAAACAGGGGAATTAGAAGAGTAGAGGAGGCCTTGAGCAGGATCAGACTTAAGGTAGCGTAAAATACGCATTGCTGCTTGAAGGTGAGCTGACCGAGGGTTAGACATGTATTGGCTCAGCTTATTTACTGAGAAACCAATATCTGGTCTTGTGATTGATAAGTAAATCAAGCGACCAATCAACTTTCGGTATACAGAAGCATCAGGAAGAGGTTCTCCAGAATCTTGACCAAGTTTAAGATTCATTTCCATGGGTGAACTGACTGATTTGCATCCTAGCATGCCGTAGTCATCAAGTAATTCTAAGGTGTATTTACGCTGACATAGATAAATACCTTGCTTTGATCGGGCAACCTCAAGGCCCAAGAAATACTTGAGTTCAGCCATGTCCTTGATCTGAAAATTCGAGCTTAGAATCGTCTTTAAATCTGTAACCAGAGACATGTCATTTCCAGCAACTAATATGTCATCAACATATATCAATGCAGCTACAAAACTGGAACCAGTCTTTTTCAAGAACAAAGAGTTGTCAGCAGCTGATTGACGATAACCAGCCTGTAGAAGTACCTGACACAGTTTTTGATTCCATTGGCGTGAAGCTTGCTTTAAGCCATATAATGATCTGTGAAGCTTACAAACCATATCAGAGGAAATAGGCTCCCCCTTGAGCTGAAAGTAACCTTGGGGTAAATCCATATAAATTTCCTCATCTAAATCCCCATTAAGGAAAGCATTAGAGACATCCAACTGATGTAAGATCCAGTTTTGAGAGGCTGCAAGTGCTAACAGAACTCTAACAGTTGTCATCTTAGCCACTGGGCTAAATGTTTCAAGATAGTCTATACCCTCCTGTTGTGTATAGCCCTTTGCAACCAAACGAGCTTTATACTTGTCAACGGAACCATCAGCATTAAACTTGGTTCGATATATCCATTTACAGCCAATAGTTCGTTTCCCAGATGGTAGAGGACAGACAGACCAGGTTTTAGTATTGATCAGTGCCTCCAACTCAAGTTCCATGGCTTTTCTCCAGGGTTCAGATTTTACTGCTTGGGTAAAGGTCTTTGGGTCTTGGGTGGTTGTAATATTGAGGATAAAATTTCTGTAAGAGGGTTCTAGTCTATCATAAGTAAGATAGGCAGATAATGGGTACGGTGTAGAAGATTGTTTAGAAGAGGAAGAGGAAGAAGAAGATTGGTTGGAGAGGAGAAAACAGTGGTAGTCATTGAGATAAGCAGGGCGAGTTTTCAATCTTTGTGGCCTGACATTGTCTGTTGAAACATCATGTTGTTCCGAGATCTCAATGGGAGAGGAAGGAGAATGATAAGAGGATGGGCGAGAAATATCAGATATAGGTGAAGACGCAGGAGTTGTAGAAGAATCATCATATAAGAAATATGGTGATGGCTGAGATATAAATGAGGAATCAGGTGAAGAAGGAACTTGAATTTTGTGAAAAGGAAATGTGGTTTCATGAAAAACCACATTTCGGGAGATTGAAATGGTGTGTGTTTCAAGATTTAAAACTTTGTATCATTTGAAACCAGGAGGGTAACCAAGAAAGACTGAAGGCACAGCTCGAGGGCTAAACTTGTGGCGATCTTTGGCATAAGTGGAAACATAGCATAGGCATCCGAAGACTTTGAGGTGAGAATAATCTGGTTTATGGTTAAGAAGAGATTCGAAAGGGGTTTTGTTGTGGAGGGCTGAAGTGGGGGTGCGATTGATTAAGTAAACTGCTGTTAGAATACAATCACCCCAATAACAAAGAGGGATTTTGGATTGAAAGTAGAGGGCTCGAGCAACATTTAATATGTGCTGGTGTTTTCTTTCCACAACAGAATTTTGTTGTGGGGTATATGGACAAGATCTGTAGTGAAAAATACCATTGGTGGTAAGAAAATCAGAGAAATTGAGTTCTGGGGCATTGTCACTACGGATTGATTTGATGAGAGAATTGTATTGGGTTTTTATCATCTGATAAAACATAGGAAACTTTGATGAGGCTTCGGATTTACAACGAAGTAAGTAAATCCAAGTTACTCTACTGCAATCATCAACCAAGGTAAGGAAATATCGAAAACTATCAACTGTGGGTTCAGTAAAAGGACCCCAAACATCAATATGGACAAACTCAAAAGGTGTTTTAGATATATTGTTGCAAAACGGAAAAGGTAAAGACTTATGTTTTGCCAAGGGACAAACAGTACAATGATCAGAAATAGATGTTTGGGTAAAACTAATATCAGAAGATCCTATAGCCTTGATCTTCATTTTGGAAGGATGGCCCATGCGGTAATGACAAAGATCGACAGGAGAAGCCTCAAGAGCTGTGCAGAGAGGTGAAAACAGGGGACAAGAAATGGAAGATGACTTCGGGACTTCCAGAACATACAGGTTATGCACCTGTTTACCCTCGCCAATTGTCGAGGCCAGAGTAAGGTCCTGGATAAGATAAGAAGTACCAGTAAAAGATACAGATAGAGAAGTGTTTTTGGTGAGGGAACTGACACTTAACAGATTGTATTTGAAATTCGGGAGAAATAAGACAGAAGTTAGGGTTATATGTGGAAGTAAAGGAACAGATCCAGATTCCGACACAGTGAGAGATTCACCAGTGGGTAAAGAGATTGAGATCGGTGGAACAACATGAATTTCAGAAAACAAAGTTCGGTCACAACAGATATGACAACTCGCACCACTATCTAAAATCCATACCACAGGAGAAAAGTCGATGTTTGGGTGTAAAGCAGAAAGAAGAAAGGGATGAAAAGTACCTGGGGAAAGAGGGGGTGAAGAAGAAGCAGCATAACCTGATGACGATGGAGAAGAGCCATGAATCTTCAACTGAGAGGTGTACTGAGCCAACAGTTCCTTAGCCTGTGCCAGCTGATTTCGCATGTCTAGTGCTTCAGCAGCACCAAGGGTGCGATTCTGAGGATGATGCGGTCCAGAATCTACCACATTGACAGCCCTCTGGGAAAAATCGAAACTAGGGTTTCGGGTGTTCGACGAAGGCGATTTTGGGAAAAATCGTGGAGTAGGCAAAAGAGGAGCCGGAGAACGATAACCTGGTGGAAACCCGTGCAAATAATAACAACGGGCCACAACATGGCCCAACATGCCACAGTGCGTGCAGACGGGCCTGGGCTTGTCATGGGCTTGGTTATTGTTCTTAGGCCTGTTAGCAGGCGGAGTGTTGCGAGGGTTTTGCTGTGGTGGAGGAAATGATGGTTTCGAGCGAAACGAAGCCGCAACTTGGAAGGTAGCCTGATCTGGGGAAGAACCAAAGGAGAGACGCTGTTGTTCCTCTTGAGACACAAGGTTGTAGGCCTTCGAAAGATTGGGAAGAGGGTCGAGCATCAGGATCTAACGTCGGACAGCGGTGTAAGAATCGTTAAGCCTCATGAGGAATTTCACGACGTTAGCACGTTCAAACATCAGGGTCCATTGATCAGGAAGATTACAAGAACAACCTCCACAAGTGCAACCTCCACAGGTGCAACCACCGCATGTACAGGCTGGAAATGGTTCGAAGTTTCGTAGCTCCTCCCACAGTGAGGTTAGTTTCGTGAAATACTGATTCAGATTAAGCGAACCTTGATGCAGAGTGTCGAGCTGATGTTGAATGTTGTACACCTTCGAGACGTTTTGCTGCTTGAATCTGTTCTCCAGGGTAGACCAGATGAGATGCGCCTCATCCAGGTATACGATGAGACTGGCGATATCAGGGCTCACGGCGTTGGTTAGCCATGTACAAACCATATCATTGGTACGAGACCATAAACCAGCATCTGGGTGATCAGGAGATGGTTTCAGAACAGTACCAAAAACAAACCCCATTTTGTTTTTGGCATTGAGTGCTTTGAGAAAAGCACGAGACCAGATGTTGTAGTTTGATTCTCCTTGCAGCTTTTCAGGGACCAGCTGAAGGTTGGAAGAATCAGCAGCGTGAAGATACAAAGGGCTGGAGTATGGACCAGAAACAGGAGTCGAAACAGGGAGAGGAGGAATGGTATGTGGTGGTGCAGGAGGTTCAGAATCTACCGATGCCTGAGAGGCAGTGGATTCAGCCATGGTGAAAAAGAAAAAAAGGTTGAAGAGGATGAAGAAGGAGAGTGAGCGATGGCGGAGCTTAAAGATATTGCTCTGATACCATAACAAGAAGGGAAACGTAGAGAGAGTTTTGGAAAAATATTTTCTTGTTGTTTCTTATTACAACCCCAATAGTGTTTATATACAACTGTGAAAAGAATAAAAATGATTACAAGTTGTAACGATCCTATAATTAGAGCTGCAGATTACAGGGTACCTACAAACATGTAAGGGTAAAAGGTTGTCTGCTAAACAACCTCCCTTGCTCCTGCACATGTCAGTAACCTGTAGTGAAAAACCACCAAAGAATAATCCCAATGCTTGATAGTTTGCTCAAAATTTTGACCAATTTGAGTAAAAAAATTAACACTAAAAAATATTGATATTAATAAAACAATTGGATATATATTTATAGGCGTAATATATGTATGTAATATATATGTAATGTTTTTGCGTATCAGCTATGATTTATTGCTTCAAAATGTGAAAAGAGTGGGAAGAAACCAAAGATGATTACAAAAGGGTCGCAAGCAATATTCTCTCGAGGAACCTTGGAAAATATACAACTAGACATACATTGTACATTTTCGAACCAAAACCGTACGGACGAAATGGGACTTGTTGGGTCTAAAATCTAAGCCCATTGTCCCACTTACTTATTAGTGGGCTTTTTTTGGGCTCTTCTGCAGATTGGGGGTTTGCATTTAGGTATTTGGTTTTCGAGAATTATTCGGTTTTATAAAATATATATTAATCATTTATTATATCATATTTAATTTTGGATCAGTTTAGATTCGATTTAAGTTTTATTAAAAAAACTATATTTTTTTAAAAAATATTTAGTTTTTTAGGTTTTTAAAATTTGATTCGATTCAATTAAATTTCGAAAAAATTAGTTATCTAAAAAAATACAGTTTTAGAATTTTAAACGATTTGATTTGAAAATGATATCGAATTTTCGGTTCGGTGGGAAGAAAACCATGGAAAAGGCCACGGCCACTACATAGGGGTGGGCGTTTCGGGTTTCGGTTCGGTATTCAAGCGGTTCGGTTCGAGAACGGTATTTTCGGTTTTATAAAAAATGTACCAAACTAGAACCGAATGTTAAACGGTTCGGTTCAGTTCGGTTTTAATATCGGTTCGGTTCGGAACGGTACCATTATATGAATACCAAATAAGTACCGAACTATACTATTTACACATATATTAGTGGAATATTGGAATTTTGGTTCGGTATTCATACGGTTCGGTTCGGTATTCATACGGTTCGGTTCGAGAACGATTCATTCGGTTCCATAAAAAGTGTATCAAATTAGAACCAAACGTTATTCGGTTCGGTTCGATATGGTTCGGTTTCGGGACGGATCGGGTCGGTACTAAATTCCCGAACCGAAGTGGTCACCCCTACCACTACATATACAGTGACAGCCAAGTCCATCATCAACTCTCTAGGCGAAAAAGCAGGCACTTTTAAAACCCACGCGCAGAGATAGCGAGTTTTCCACACGCGCCACATATATATATATATAATTCTGTAGTTTAAAGATAATAAAAGTTATCTCTGATTAAAAAATATATAATCAAAGATGGTAAAAGTTATACAGTAAGAAAAATAGGACAATCAAAGATGGTAAAAGTCAGATGGGTCCAAATGCAAAACAGCCCAATACGGATACTATACGGCCCAGCCCATCAATGCCTTCGACGGAAACAGTCGCTAATAAACCACGCGCACTGATAGGCATTGTTCTTACACGCGGGGATTCTTCCGTGGCCGTGAGGCTTCTTCCTGAGACATTTCTCTTTCTTTTTTTTTTGTAGGGTTTTCTTTCATATTTTCTTATTGAAACTATCGTTTTATTAATTAGATAAATAAATGCAGTATGTACATATAGTGGATAATAAATTGTCGATATGTGTGTGCGTGTGTGTGTATATATATATTCCAAAAAAAAATTGAAATAAAAAGGACCACAAAATCATAACATCGGATTTCTATTAATGAGATTTTATCAAGTTATAGAAAAAATCTTGTATACAGACCGGTGCTTGAGATGCTAGTCACTAACCTTTTAGTAATAAAAATATTTGTAAGACAATATTTAGTGGACTTCTATTTTAGGACAGCGGGCAACAAAATCTAACAAATACAAATACAGCCATAGATATATAAAATAAACTATGAAGTAAAATATTTATACATAAATAAACATATAATCATTTGCAAAAAAAAAAACTTGGTTTAAAAAAAAAGATTAACACAAATCACACACTCTAATTACCATTAATTCTCATCGTAGAGAAAGTGCTAAAACTATCTAAACGCGCAAACCTACAAAGGAAAACATCCCTCCCTACATCATAAAAGAATACACACACACAAAAACACACAAACAGGCAAACAGACAGCATCAGTTCCAAGAGTTTCTTCTAGACAAGTTAGCTTTAAGATGATGCAGAGTGAATTCCACTGGTGTCGGAAGCTCACCGGAGATATCTGTCTCCTCCTGTGGCAGTGGCAGTGGCAGTGGCAGTGGCAGTGGCCGTTCGGTTCTCCTCCTTTCCACTATGACCTCATGGTACATCGGTCTGAAATTGATCTGAAACGCCCTGTAAGAGAAATACGGGGAAAGGGCCGAGACAACGACTAGCACGAGGGTTAACCAGCAGTACAGGCTCGGGGCCGAGGTTTCAACGAGGACCCTGAAAGCAGTAGTGGAGAACGTAGGCGGGAGCGAGCCATAGACGACGAGGAACAAGTACCAGAAACCGATGCTTCCCCATATGAACAAGTGTTGGATCCAAGTGAAGTAGTTTATGGACAGAGCCATTTGGCAGTTCACTGTCCAGACCACGGATGAGTACATTGTTACGCCTAGGACCGAGTAGTCTACTACTCTTCCATCACGGCGGAAAGCTTGAGCGGCCATGGAGTTGATGGTGAGGAAGAAGATGATCATCGAGCTGAGGATTCCATTAGCCATCCACCCGAGGATCCGTGCCCAATTGAAGAGTATGTTTTGAACTCCCTCTTGGTATAGCAGCGGATACTACAACCCGAAAAAAACAGGAAGATTTTGAGAAAATAAGGTCATAAATTTTCATATTGGATGGATGATTCGAGAAAAATAAACGGGGTTTGTGTTATTTACCTTGAGACAGAGACGAGCAGAGACGTCCTGATCAAAAACTCCAAGGGCAATGACGGGAAGGGAAGTGAAGAAGACGTTATAACACGACATGTACCAGTCATTATAAGCTGGTTTCCCAGAGAAGGAAGCAAATGCCTCATACCAAAACAGCGTGAACCCGAAAGTTAGGTTCTTGTAGAAGAAGTAGCATATCTGGATTGACATATAGATCATTTCAGAAAAAGGATGATGATAAATTTTGACGTGCAATAATGACGCGAACAGAAAATATTTTATACCCAGTTCTCATATTTTACGTTAAAATAACGGAGCTTCAAAATACGAGATAGCAAAAGAGGATCGGTCATGAAAGCATAATACTAGTTGCGTTACCATCATCGCTATTCGTCTGTAACACCAATGGCCATGAACCAGCAATAAGCGTTCCAGGAATCGGAACTGAGCAATCGCAAAATCACTAGCCATCACAGCCTGTCATAGAAAATGATGACAGAAATTCGGATTAACTCAACTATAAGGTTATATTGATCATCCTTCTATCCATTTTCTACGTCATGGCTTACACTCAAAAGGGTTCGAGAAATCGTTCCACAGTTCAGAAGTTCGAGTAAATACATGCAAATCTTGCTATATCATATACAATGGAACTAGGAGCGTATAAGGCAAAAGCATAAACCAAACAAAAATGAAGAACATAAACTTTTTGCCCGGAAGATTTCTTTCCGAAATATTCAAGGACAGAAGGAGATAAGGATCAAATCAAGACCTGCATTCCTTCAGCACCACTAATCCCAACTCCAATATCAGCCTCTTGAAGCATTCCAACATCATTTGCGCCATCTCCAATGGCCAGTGTTGTTCTACCTGTCCCAGTTTTCACCATTCTTGTAACCTACATTTCTTCTTAGGCTCCAATCAGATTATTTTATTGTGACGGAGAGAGTGAATAATACAAGTTTGTGCAGCTAATTAATGTAGATGCATAAATCTTACAAGAGCCTTTTGCTTTGGTGAAGACCGGCAGCATATAACGGAGTTGCAACAAATTGCAAGTCCCAAGAATTCTTTCTCCAGCTTCTTGTCCAAAGCAAAAGCCAATGACTTTCCATCTATCACTAAAGCAAACGTTTTCAGACCTTCTTTAGCTGAAATCTCACTTGCTGCAGTGATTTGTGACATCCCATCCCTAATCTGTTTCTTTATACTTTCGAAAGAAGCCTGCAAGAAAAAGGGGAAAAAAATCCTCACTGTTTTGCAAGAAAGGGTATCACACATGTTATAGTAGCAAAACAAAGACCTATATTACCTTTGAGACAGCATCCTTGGCGCCTTGTTTCTCTAAGGCTTCAATATCGGGTGAATCTAAAGTTACCAAAATCTGATTCATGTCTTCTCGTAGGAGACGACAAGCATATCTGCCAAATGAAATCACAAATTTCGTCTCATAACTTTACACAGATAAAGATACTCACTAGAAAATATGAGAACTTTGAACTCCAAACATGCATATATACCCAATATTTATAGCAGTTTCTGTCTTATCACCCGTTAATACCCATATTTTGATCCCGGCCTGAGATAACTTGTCAATACACTCTGGAACCTGTGACAAGAAAAATAAATTAACTACACTGACGATAGGATATTAAAAACTGAAAATGTCTATGTATGCTTTGCTTGACACTACTTCTCAGGTTTGCAGTGATCTCAGTAAAGTAATTAAACACTATACAACACTTCATTTACTTGTGCCAGTGATATATATAGCTCATCTGCCGACATACATACTATAGACGAATTTAAAAAAAAAAATCGTATCTTTCTTCCATAGTTTTGATATACTTACACCCTTTTGCAGTTTGTCTTCCACTGCAGTAGCACCAAGAAGGATCAAGTCTCGCTCTATCTTATCAGCAGCTGAATCTATTAAAGCATCTCTCTCTGCAGAGACAGAAGTTTTGGCCTTCTTAAACTCCTCTTCCCACATTCTGTACTCATCCTCATCGAGTTCTCGGTATGTAATGACCAAGGTTCTTAAACCTGCTTCAGCATACCTCTTGATGTGTTCTTTTGTTTCAGTCTCAAATTGCCGCCCATGTTTTGCAAGTCTTTCAAACATCACACTGTACACATTGAAAAACGGAAGAAATTCCCATCAGATGATATCGGATGTTCTAATATTGAACTTTTCCGATACATTGTTTTTTGATAGAAGAAAAAAGACTGACCTGTCTGCCCCTTTGGAAAGAAGTAAGAGATGGTTTTCTGGATTCCGTACAACCACAGACATTCTTTTTCGGGAACTGCTGAACTCCAGGACATGAAGAAGCTCATATACTCTGAAAATATAAGAACGTATCATAAGATAGAAAATGTATTTAACAGGCTTCGATGAAGAAAGGACGTTTCTACCTTAGTTCATATCGTATCAGCACAAGATGAAGAAACAGGAAAACCATTAGCAGAGCTTACCTGTCAACATTTTCACTGGTCATGTGATCAAGTTCATGCAAGGATATATTAGTTTGAGTCCTTGCAAAGAATTCAAATCCAAGCTCTCTAGAAGCTATAACAAATGCAGCTTCATCGGGTGACTCTGCTTCATATGCTATTTCCCCTGTATCTCCGTTTACATCGGGAATAGCTGTGTGACAAATAGCCAATACCCTGAAGAACTTCTGGATGATATCTGCACGAGGTTGATTAACCCATTGCCCGTCGAATATTCTCTCATCCCAAAAGTTAAATCCTTTAACTGATTTCATTGACTTTGCAGTTGGATCCTTACTAGACATAGAATCATCAATTTCTTGAGGCATGTCCTTTCTCTTTCTCAAAGCTGTCTCGACTTCTGTCATACCGCGTCCATAAGGAATTCCAGCAATTGAACATTTAACAAACTCCATGGAATTGCACGTCAGAGTGCCCGTTTTATCGGAAAGGATTGTATCAACTTGACCAAGTTCCTCATTAAGATTGGATGTCCTAGCACGGGCAGGCCTGTCTGTCTCCTCATGATACATCTCTTGGTCTTGGTTAATGAAAACACTCTGTAAAACCTTGACAATCTCAATGGAAACATATAATGATATGGGTATTAAGTACCCATATAACATTAGAGCAGTCAAGAAATGAAAGAAAGCAGCAAGAATTGCTTTTCGTGGGTCATAAAATACAGTCGTCTGATCCGGTCTAAGATACCATCTTCTTAATTTTTCACTATTGCTGATATCTTTCCTTGTTGCAATCCCAAAGAACACAGATCCAGTAAATGCTATCAAAATCAAGATACTGAAAAGGACGTAAATGATCTTGTCCATTTTTCTCTCAATCTTGCTCCTCTTGGAAGGTGGGTCAGTAGCATTCTGCATCACTTTGGTGTCATGACCAGTGAAAACAACAACACCATGGACGCAATCTGTATTTTTCAGTTTTGAATCCCTCAAAAGTATCTGCTGTGGAGAGAGCGGGTACTGTTTTCCATCATAGTTGAGTGTTCCCACAAAAGAATAAAGATGCTCATTTGGGTCCTCGCATTTGATTACTGCCCTGAAGTTCTTGAGAGATTCTTCATCATTCAACGACGAAGTGATCTCCAAGGCATTCTTTAACTTCAAATTAGTCTCCCCATCAAGGTTCATGGTCTCAACATAACAAATCCCATCATCATAGCTAGAAGAAAGAAGAAGCAGATCCGCTGGAAAGTAACTGTCCTTGTGAACCCGAACTAGATCCCCAACACGAAGGTCTTTCCACTTAGTTTCGACAAAAGTGTAGTTTTTGCCATAAACTTCAACCTTCCTATTGTTAGCTTCAACATCCTAAAAAGAAGAATAAGAAAGGTAACGTTCAAAGGCATTTCCAAGCAGAACAAAATCGTAGGAAAAGTTAATCAAAGGCCTCATATCCAGTCCGCAAGATCCTAATTAAGTCTACAATCTACGTTCTTGACTTATAAATCAAGCATTCAGAGAGATTTCTCCATGTACGGTTACACATAAGCATGTATAGATTCACACATGAACATCTAGTATATATGCCTATTACACAAATATGCACATCCTATGTTATGCTATAACAATCACATTGCTAAAGGAATCATAAATCCGTACGAAGGAACACGTATTTGTTTGTGTCCTAACTTTCTACATAATTAGCTAAAAGAACCCCTCAAAAAAAAAAAGAACAAGAAAGCCTTACTTGTTTTCTTCGCCTCCAATCTTCGATTCCTTCCTTAACCATAGTAGCACCAATTACAACTATCAAAGGGGCAAGAACACTTGGGGCAGTGTAAGGTGCCAAAGGACTGAATGAAACAAAGGCCACGACGAGAAAGTAGATGTTAGCAACCCTCCTAAACTGCTCAAACAGCGACTTGGGTATGAAATTGGCGGCTGTGTACTTTGTAGTTGACACATAATTCCCTCTGTAATTAAGCTGAAGGGCCTCAGGATTGTCGGGATCATTACAGAACACAACTCTTGAGTAACCTCTTTGCCCGATTTGAGAATGATCATCCCTTGAGAAAGGTCTAAAACACACGAACGAGTACAATTTGCTCAGACGCAACCCTTTTCTCCTCTCTCCTCGCATCTTTTTGAGCGTATGAACTAACAACAGGCCTTTCCCTTGATTCTCCAGAAAAAAAATATCTCTAGAAATCAAACAGAACAAGCCCGAGTTGTCTTGAAACTACCATCCCCATTCCCCTTGCTCGTTTTCCTGGGACCTGGACGAATCAGGGGATTCCGTTTTCAACACGAAACAAACCATTTCTCAAAATTGGAAAAACATTTACAAATCTCATCAACAATCACCCACCAAATCACAAACCAAACCCCACGTAAACGCAATCTTCACCGCTGAAAATTACGGCGTACGATCCAATGTAATGCCTACAAAGAACCCACCAGAATCCAATAGAAAAAATCCAAAAAACCCAGAAAAGAAAATTCAGAGGCTACACTAAACAATGACTAGCAATCGAAGAAAAAACCATAAACCTCATGAACCCTTCGGCTGAACAAAAAAACACACAAAAAAAATTCCTTACTTGGTTCCAAAGTTCCCGGAGATCTCTTCCTTGCGAGATTAAACGAAGAAAACCCTAGAATAAAGTGAGATCCTAGAGAGAGTGTGAGCTCCGAGAGCGGCCTTCAGCTTTGCCTCTTCTGTAAGTAAACGACAAGAGAAACGACGTGAACAGAGGCGAAACTTTTCCGATTTCTTTTTCGCTTTTTTTTTTCTTTTTTGTTTTTGTATTTTTGGCTTTTGCCCGTACAGTATCAGCGGAGACCTCTGACATATGTCGGTCTCCGAGGAGTCTAACGTGACCTTATTGACACGTGGCATGATCTTACGGCGTTGCGTAACCATCACTCATGACCGTTACCCTGTTCTCGCATGTAGCTGATCACTGCCCCGTTTAGCGTTTCATCTGTTTTCCCCCCACCGGTTGTTAATTAGTTAACGAAATTAAATTAGCGAAATTATTAATTACAGGCGGATGAATTAATTAGTTGGACATCCCTTTGAAAGAGCTGTCTCAGATATAAAAGTAAGAGAAATTCGGTAAAAAAAAAAAATTTATCTGTAACTGTAACAAAAGAAATTATATAAATTTATAGCACATGATATATTTAGGTAAAAAAATATATAAATTTAGTATTTTATTAATACACTAAACCGACAATTTTGTAGGACTTATAATTACAGAAGAAAAATAGATAATGGTGGTTTGGGTAACGTCAAAGAGAATAGAGATTGCATTTAGTTAAGCTATCTCCATCGCACCCTCAATTGATTTGTCATAAAATTTCCTCATTGGGTCAAATGCTATTTATTAAAGTATGAATAGACATATATTTCAAATTTTCAATATAACGTTTGATGGACCGTTATGATGCAAATATAATTTAAAAAAAAAATCACGACCGTTAGTAACTGTATCTGTATGTAAAATCACCGCGAACGAATCTTTTGGAAGAAAAATAAAATTTGTATTACATATAAAACTATAATTATATATTATTACGGGCCGAAAGCAAACATAACAATAATGATTTTTATGAAAAGCCCAAATAAGAAGACTTGGGTTCAGTACATTAGTGATCCATGGCCCAAAAGGCCCAGTTAGCATATCCACGTGGCATCATCTGGTCCACTAAAATAATCCCTAGCGGATATGCATCGCCTGTTACAAGTTAAAGAGAACATTCCAATCATAATTTGCCACGTGTTATATGATGGGGTGCAACGTGTCACAGGCTTGTCATCTTAGAGAGTTCTTGCCCCACCTAACTCCGTTCCTCCGTAGATAAGGTTCATTGGGAAAACGTGAAGCGCCGAATCTTTCATCGTACCGGCTCGGATCAGCTCGGCTTAGACGAGCCGATGCTTTGTACGTTTTTGACCGGTTGAATTTGAATTATTAGAAATTATTTATTTCTTTATTTATATTTATAATGGGAGAATCATGTTATTTTTTTTTGTCAAAAGGAGAATCATGTTATTGAAAACATCAATGCACGTATCCAGGCTGTAAACATTGAATTGAATTTACTTTAAACCTATTCGATATAAATACAATGTATTACTTTCAATATAATTATCGTTTTAAGTTTTTTCACAATTTTTAAAAGAAACTAAAAAAAATCATATATAACTTTATTAAATTATATTCACATCAAATACTCTATTAAAATTTAATATATTTAATTAGGGATAAAACTAAAAGTTTTAATTAAAAATCACCTAGAAAATCTAAAATAATAACTATTTAAAAACAAAAAATAAACTCTAAAACGATATTTATATTGAAATGGAGGGAGTATATTTTTGTTAGTAATATGTACGTATATCAAACCTATTCGATATAAATATGAATTGATATTGAACAATATTTAGATGTGTAAATTATATATATATATATATATATAGTTTACAATTAGGGCTAATATCTAATGGCAAACTATATGTAAGTATATTTAATTAGTCTTTTCATACATTGAAGCTAACATTTATAAGGAAAAATCCTATATAGGTATTCAAACTCTTCTAAATGTGCTAAATAAGTACACAAAACTTATAATTGTGTCTAATTAGTGTCGCAACTATTTGATTGTGCCACATTGATACCTCAACTCCTAAAATTATTGTCAATTCCCAATTTTACCCTTAACGACGTCTATTGTAAATATTTTCTGTTATATAATCTACAATGTGGCACGACACGTCATCAGTTTTTCTATGTTAGAATGACATAAACATATTCGGTCAACAGTACCATTATACCAATAAAACTGGTTCAAAAAAAATTCTAAATTAAAATTAGGGTTTCTATCTTTTACTTCCACTCTCACCTTATCTCCTACCACCTCTCTCTCATCGACACCATCTTCCATCTCTCCTTCAAATCATAATCTCTCCGACTCTCCTCAGCCAGTACTCTCTCCCCACACTTTTCTTCCCTCTTCACCATCGTCGATTCCTAACTGTATCGGAATCGAAATCTCGCAGTCTTGAACACCGAAGATTTTTTGAACATCGAAGATTCTAACAAGTTTTCCCGATGAGCAATAAATCCGAGGGTACGTCAAAATGCAACAAAAAGTCACAGTGGAAGAGAGGAAAATCAAGTTATCAAAAGGGTTTTCCACAGCAATGTGAATGTGGAGCTCATGTTTTGAAGTTGACATTTCGGATACAAGACAATCCCGGAAGAATATTCTTTCGATGTGCTTCACAAGAGGTAATGTTTCTACGGAAAAATTATAGTTTTGGTGGTAAGAAAATCATTGGTTGATGTTTATGTGTTAGGACAATCATCTTTTCAAATGGGACGATGAAGCTATGATCGAAGAAATAGAGGAATTCCAAAAGGAAGTCGATAAAATAAGAGCTGATGGCGATGCGGTTAATGCTAAGATTCAACAACTCGAAGCCAAAATCGAAGAAATGAATAAAAAATGATGGAAATTGGTTGATGTTGATAGAGTTGGTTATTGTATCATAATGTAGTTTAAGTTCAGACTAAGTTTATTGATGTAGTTTTATGTATGAATTTGATGGAGTTGGTTGTTGTATTATGACAATAGTAAGTTATTGAATTTGGAATATGATTCGACTAATTAAAAACGACAAACGATTGCATTAAGACTTGTTCAAAAGACAACATATGTCCTCCCATTTTTGGTAGGCACAAGTATTCGCATTCAGATCAACCCCATAACTATTTCCAAACCCAATCACTTCATATCTCCGGACTCCACACCGTATTATCGTATAATATCGACATCGATCATGAGTCTTTGTTATTTTTTTCAGGATTCTTAGAGTAAATACAGATTTACACCTGCTGGCATCACGGGCTCTTTTGGAAATCATTCGCATAATGTTTCTACGGATCTCTTCAAGCATGACAATCAAAGGACATTCACGTGTTTCTCAGATAGAATTGTTGAAGCTTTCTGACAAGTTGTTGTTAATATCTTTGCATCGCGAAGCAAACTTAAAAAAAGCTCGACACAATTTCTCAGGCTTCGCTCTCATAAATCCTTCATATGCCAAAGGATTATAATGTTTCATATCATCAACGTACCTGGCATACTCGCTTTGTAGACTTTTTACAGCCTTTCAAAAAAGGAGTTTCAAATCCTGGCCCTTGAACTGCTTCTTCCAATGTGCATATACATTTTTGGTACACATCTGATGCTCGACACGAGGTAATTCGTGTTCAATGGAATTTAATAAATCTTGTACATCACAAACACAACAGACAAAGAATGAGACGATTTTCCTTTCATTCATTTGTATGACAGAGAATATTAAGACATTATACCTTTTGTTTGTCAGATAATATTGTTAAACCATGTCTTTGCCCTAGACATAAATTCAATCTCAGTTTTCGGATAAACTATGTCCAAGAATCAATATCTTCGACACATACAACATCCTATTCAATGGGGTACATGTCATCGTTGGCATCCCGACCAATGGCAGCTAAAAGTTCCCTTTTCATTTTCCACTTCAGAAAACAACCGTTTAAACCGATAACCGGACGACAATTTTTTTTCCATGAATCCCTCAATACCTCAAAACTCACATAGAACCGATGAAATACTTGTAGACCGTCAGACCCCAATAATGTTCCGATCTCAGTGGTTGTGTTGGCGTTCGCCCTACAGAGTTCAAATTCATAATCCCACAATTTACCAAGTTGAACTCCTTGATCTCCCATCACCATCTTCAAAGTGATTCTTCTAGCCTTGAAACATTTACTAATACCAACTGTCAAATTATATTCAGTTTGATTATAATTTTGCATCTTCTTTGCAGTGTAAGCCGGATCTTTTCGAATCTTATCAACAAACATTTCGGCTATTTTACTCATTGACAACATATCTGCATACCCATCTGGCTCATGGTTGTGATCTTCACATATACCTTTATCATTCATTTGTTGACCGGAACTTCAATTGAACAATATACTCTCCATAGATAATCTTCCCTAGGACATATTGCATGTGACACTGGTATCCCGTATCCCGCATACAGGATGTGCCACATGGATAAATAAAATTACAATTGGAAAATTTCGGAATGTAAAATCGCGAAAAAATTGAAAACCATTCATTTTAAATATAATACAACGGAAGACATTATAAAATACGTGAGTATGTTTATATACGTACACAAAGATACCGGTATATAATACGAGTGGTGCGAAAACTATAATACCAAAGTCCAAAGTTCACCACTCTTTATTTTCAAAAACGAAATGCGTTAAAGATAATTACACATGATCTGGAAATCGAGTTGTCACTGGGTCCCGCGTCTTCCTCAGTCATTACTGTTGCTCGCGACCTGAAACGTTGCGTAACAACGTCCTAAGCTACGTGCTTAGGGAGAAATTCGGGTGTAACTCGAGATTTCTTTTTTCTTCCTAAATAACATGTATTATACCATTAACACATATCTAGAATTTATCATAAAAAGAGTTTGAGTATAATTAGCTCATAGGAAGTTTTGTTTCGAAAACTGTAGGTTTAATTCCTAGTTCAAGGTTGTTTTATTTAAATCAACCATTAATACAGTAAAATTATATTTTGAATCCAAATTTGAATTAAGGAGCTTGTTTTAGAGATGCATGATGGTTAAGAAATATGAAACGTCGGGTTATTCTTTTATATAAGTCCGATTAGATTTGGAAGTTGATTTCTCTTCAAAAAAAATTGGTTATTACCTTTTAAAGAAAATGTTGACTTAAAAGAATTCATACACGCATGGATTTTTTAAAAAGACCAAAAATTTTAAGTCATAAAAACTCAAGGTACTTGCGTATTTGATATTCGATTGTTAGAGATGAGATACCTTTAAAATTTTCATCAAGGTTCTCTTAAATAAATGTGGATTAGAGCTATACATCGACGTCATAGAGTTATGAGAATGGAGATTTCAAAACTATCTCAAGAGAAAAGAGATTCTGAAAAAATATAATCACACGATTTTGCAAAAGTTCAAAATCCCAAACTGATTCTATTTCTTTGATACGTGTCAAGTACACTTCAACCTTTCCAAGTAGCACTCAACTCACCCAGTCTTACTCCCCCTGAGTAAACCTCCCGTACCACAAAAAATTCTATCAGTTACAAACACTATGTGTGCAGCGCACACCCCGTGTCACCCTAGACAGCGTCTAGGCCTACCAAGCGGTTCATCTGTAACTTAAGACTCCCCCTCAGTTACAACTCACGTTCACTCAGAATTCTCTCACCAGTGTTTCCCATACATGTTACGCTCACCGAGATTCCAGACTCTGCACTCTCTCGCCAATAATCTCGCCAACCTTCAACAATGATGTCTTCAGTCCATATATGTCATCGTTCATTGATTCTCTCCATATCTTCAGAATATGCATTTTTCCTTTTTCTTCATTGTTACAAGTGTCTTCTTTCCTTTTGTTGCTTCTTTCCTTTTGTGCTTTCCAGATTCAGCTCCAAACTTTCATTTGTTGATTCGAACCTTCTAGATGTTGAATATGCTATTTCCTTGCTTTAACAATCTCCCCCTTTTTGACTTTCTTCTTAGACACACTGAAACTCACAGAACACAAAACGCAATTCATAGCAACTAGGATATAGCTATCCTTTAAGTTCAACAAGTCATGAGAAAACAAGAACTAGCAAGAAAACAACACGAATCAACATAACAGATTAGACACAAAAACAACCACATAAGCTAAGTCGTTGATGAGCCATGATGACCATGATGGTTAGTCAAACACAGATCAACTTCTCGAAGTCGGAAGTTTCATTCACTCTGTTCCTTCTGATTCTCCTTCTGATTCTCCTTCCTCCTCCTTTTCAACTTCATTTGACACGTCATCCTCACCCATTATTCCTTTGACTTTGTCTTTTGCACTTGATGAGGGTGCTCCACCTTCACTTTCTCCCCCTGTGTGGATAAGCAGAAATTCAAAACATTAGATATGGAATATTCAGAAACCATACCTTGGTGAGGAATACTATCTTGCAATTACTCTGAAACTCCTCCCAAAGAGCATGTTGACGAGCACGAATTTGGGCTATGATTTTAGTGTTCTTCCTCTGTAGTTGTTCCACTTGAAGTAACTGCTTGTCATGTTTCATGAGGATAGTAAACGCCTTGCTACAGAGTTGTGTTCGACTCATCCTAGCCTGTTGTACTCTGGATTCAATGACCAATGGTCGCTGAATTACTTCAGTGATCTCCGAATCAACAAGAATCTCTGGACTTTGTCGGACAATAATGCTCTGGATGAGGCAGGGGTGAGGCAGCAAATATCGCAGTCTCATATCAGCAGCTCGAGACAGTATGTGACTGTAGATGATGCGGCCAAGATTTACATCCTCTTTCCTCAACAACTTGTATATCAGTAGTGCTAACTCATCTTGAATCACATCAGATCTTCGAGTCGGTAACCAATTTGTCTTTCCAATCAGTTGCATAACCCGACTTTCAAACTTGAGACATGTTATGGGAATCTTCCCATTCCTTTCTGCCAGATACTCTTCAGTGAGAGCTACCTCTAAATCTTCAAGTGAAGTTCCTTCAGGTAAATCTTCCAATCCTTGTAAGGCATTATCAGGTGTTCCCAGCAACCGATTGATAACTGTTGGAGAAAACTCAATAAATCTACCTCTCACATAGGCCTTGTGATGCAAGAAGTCTCCAGGGATGTCAGTGCGTTGAGTGAGATTCGCATAAAACTCTCTGACAAGCATTTTACTAAATGCACATGCATAGGTCATCGTCCCCGTCAGTTGCCTTTCTTCAAACAGAGTCCAAATGCGATTTTTTCGAAAATCCATCACATTGACATTGCGTTCAGCAATTACATCTACTCCTTTAAACTTGTCAAACCTCTTCTTAGTTTCTACAGATAAGAATCTATCAGAAAGAGGTTTCACACCTGTTTCACTAGGTGTGACAGATGGTTCTGAAGGACCTTCATCACCCGTTCCTTTTCCTTTCCGAGTTGTCTTCCTTTTCTGAGCGCTTCTTCCATGTGCTGAATTGCCTTTGCGCTTCCGAGTGACATTTCTTGCCTTAGCTTTCTGTTGTAAGACAATCAGGGGTCTATCAGAGTCATCAGAACTCACCGGGTTAGACAGTGATACCTCAGGTGCATGCGATTGCATTTCAGTTTCATCTTCCTTCTCCGCCACACTGGGTATTTCTTCCAGTGCTTCAATAATCGTTCGTTCACTCCCACCTTCTCTCTCCTAGACATCTTCACAGACGATTTCGTCGACCGTAACCTCCTTTTGATTCTCACCGTCTTTTGGATTCACCATTTCAGGTGTGATTTGCGTTGGTTCTTCAGTTAAGTCCTTCCTCGGGGCCGTCTCTGTTTGCACTTCGTCTTCACCCAAGTTCTTCTCAGAGAGATCTTGACTGTCTTTGTCTTTAGGTAAATCGGACGCAACATGTTGTGTTGATTGTGACGAAGCTGCTGAATCCTTTTTAGATTGTGTATTTCTCTTTGTTCTCTGAGGTGGAGCCACATCAGAATCTGATTTCTCTTCTTCTCCAGGATTCCCTTTCTCATCCACCTTGCTCGTATGCGTCTCACATGTATCCATTTGCTCAGATTCCTCGACAATCTCAGGGAGTTGAGATTTACCTGGTTCGCTTAAGGTTTTGGCCGCGTTTCGAGCTGAGCGACGTTCCCCTTGTCTGAATGTCTTCCCCGATTTCTTGTTCGTCATGATAGTGAATGAATTTTGAGGAAGAACTGTCGAAATCGAACCGCTAGAGAGAGAAAGAGCAAAACTTGACAGGATGTGAGGTAAGTGTGCGAGAAATTAGGGCATGTCCACAAACCGCTCAATAAATGATGCAAAATTCAAAATAATTAGAAAATTTGATTATTTTTCAATTCCCGCTCTAAAACAATTTAGCATATTCACATCCCCAAATCGCCTCGATAATTCCAGGTTGTAGTTGAACACTTAGAAAACATCGGATAAATCATCAGCGAAATATGAAGTTGAATAATTAAGTCAAGAATACCTGTCGTGGAGACAATCAAGTCTAGAAAGTGAATCTTCTGGTCAGTTGCACCTCACACAATCTCAGGTGCTTTTCATTTTGTATACAGGTTTAATTTGGCACACTTTGCAGTATGCAAGTTCTGAACTTCTAGGACGTTGTATCAACAGATGTTTCCCACCATTTAGATCCAGACTATCTCTTCCTGAGATATACTCATGTAGATATACTTTTCAGTCATCCACAGCGGAGTGGTTTCAATCTCGAACACTTGTACTCCTTCCTTCCTCTTTTTTTTTTTTATTTTGAATTTGCCCTTAGACCATCGTATGGAAATTTGTTTCACAACTTAGACCCGAGTACTTTACTAGTTTACTCATGTCATGGCTATTTCGCATCAATTAATCTTGTATGACATGTTTATGTCTATGCACGACAGAGGAGTAACATAACTTGTAATTTAGCCCCTATACTAGTGAAATGTACCTGAGACATAGTGAAGTGCTTTTGACCTTCAGCCACATCTTCTTGACTCGCTTATCTCCTGACCTGTACCTTTCCCTGCATATTCTCCTTAAGAAAAATGTGAAAGACATTTTTAAAGTTCCCCAACACCAAGGGATTTTTGCAAACCAACAAACATGTTCATATCAAGGGGTTTAGTGAATATGTCAGCCAATTGTTTCTCACTAGGAACATACTCAATCATCAAGATTTTCTTTTCAACTTGCTCCCTCAAAAAGTGATGACGAATTTCAATGTGTTTAGTTCGTGAGTGCTGCACAGGATTCTTAGAAATATTGATAGCACTCGTATTATCACAATGAGCAGTAAAAGAAGATAAGTTGATACCGTAATCGGAGATCATCTGCCGCATCCACAAGAGTTGAGTACAACAACTTCCCAAGGCAATGTACTCTGCTTCAGCTGTGGACAGTGATGTAGAGTTCTGCTTCTTGCTGTGCCACGCTACCATGTTATTTCCAAGGAAGAAATAACCTCCAGAAGTACTTCGCCGATCGTCAGCATGACCTCCCCAGTCAGCATCACAAAACCCCACCAGTTCACAGCTCGAATCCCGTGTATAGTGCAAACCAAACTCCAATGTTCCCTTCACATATTTTATGATCCGCTTGACAGCTTGCAGATGTGACTTCTTCGGTTTAGCTTGATATCTTGCACATATTCCAACACTTAGGCACAAGTCAGGTCTACTTGCGGTAAGATAAAATAAACTTCCAATCATTCCACGGTAGAGCTTTGTGTCTACATCCTCTCCATCTTCATCTCGGGTTAACTTCGTAGTTGTGGACATAGGAGTTTTTGCCGATTTGCTTCCATCCAGTTCAAATCTCTTGACCAAGTTTCGAGCATACTTACTTTGAGAGATGAACATTCCATCAGTTGTCTGTTTCACTTGCAACCTGAGAAAGAAATTTAATTCTCCAAACATGCTCATTTCGAACTCATCAGTCATCATCTTCACAAAGTTGTCCACTTTCTCCTGAGAGACAGATCCAAATACGATATCATCAACATACACTTGAACCACCATGATCTTACCATCATCATTGTGAATGAACAAAGTCTTGTCCACTTCCCCTCTTTTGTATCCGTGCTCAACCAAAAAGGAAGTCAGCTGTTCATACCACGCACGAGGAGCTTGCTTAAGACCATATAGTGCTTTCTTCAAACGAAAGACATGATCCGGAGAATGGGGATCTTCAAAACCAGTAGGTTGTTCGACGTACACTTCCTCCTGGAGTACTCCATTGAGAAAAGCACTCTTGACATCCATCTGAAAAAGTTTGAAGTGCAAGCTACACGCAACTCCGAGGAGTAATCGAATGGATTCGAGACGAGCAACGGGTGCAAAAGTCTCATCAAAATCAACTCCCTCAATCTGAGTGTACCCCTGAGCAACTAAACGTGCTTTGTTGCGAACTATCTCCCCAAACTCGTTAGTCTTGTTTTTGAAAATCCACTTCGTGCCAATGACATTTGTATGGTGAGGCCGAGGAACTAAATACCAGACATCATTGCGCACAAACTGTTCCAGCTCTTCTTGCATCGCCCGAACCCAGAACTCATCATGAAGCGCTTCACATACCTTCTTTGGTTCAAATTGAGAGTTAAAGCAGACAAAACGAACCAGATCTTGATAATTGATTCTGGACTTATGCCGAGTCTGGCGAGGAGCCTGAAAATCGCCAATTAGATCACTAGCAGAGTGATTCTTGTGCACATGAATTGATGTTTCTGGTCCGGACAAACTGTCATCAAATTCTCCAGTGTCAGTGGAAGATCCATCTGACTCATCTTTCAGAGGAGGGGCAGGGGCAGTACGAGAGCATTCTGGGATATCGCGAGAAGTACTTGGCTCCAGTGAGATGCCATCAACACACCGGGATGTTTCCTCATCAAAGATAACATTGGCGGATTCCATCACTGTTTTAGTACGAAGATTGAACACTCGGTACGCAGCTGAGTTTTGTGCATACCCAAGAAATATTCCTTCATCACTTCTGGGATCCATCTTGCCAAGATACTCCCTGTCGTTTAGAATGTAACACGTACAACCAAACACGTGAACATACTTAAGGGGAGGAGACCGTCCCTTCCAGATTTCGTAAGGTGTTTTGGACATACCAGAACGCAGATAGATCCGATTGATCAGATAACAAACAGTGCTCATGGCTTCAGCCCAAAATCTTATGGCAACATTTTTAGCATGTAGCATAGATCGTGCCATTTTCTAAAGAGTTCGGTTTTTTCTTTCCACCACTCCGTTTTGCTGAGGAGTCTTTGGAGCAGAGTATTCATGAGCAATACCTTGAGTGTCACAGAATGTGTTAAACAATTCATTCTCAAATTCCTTACCATGATCACTCCGTATCTGTTGCACCATTCCCTTTCCATTTTTCAGTTGAAGACACAGATGTTGAAATGCAACACAAGCCTTAGACTTTTCTCGAAGAAACCGGACCCAAGTGAATCTGGAGTAATCATCAACACATATAAGAACATACCGTTTTCCACCGAAGCTTTCGGTTTGCATAGGACCCATCAAATCCATGTGCATGAGCTCCAAGATATGTGTTGTGTGTACATGGTCTGTTTTCTTGTGACGATTGCGAATCTGTTTCCCCAGTTGGCATGCTTTGCAGACAAACTTGTCATCGTGAGATAATTCTGGCAAATCTCGAACAGCACCTGACTTTGACAATTTGACAAGCGCTCGCATATTGATGTGTCCAAGTCTTTGATGCCACAACTCCATGTCGTTTTTCTTTGCAATGAAATTCAGATGCTGAGTAGACTCCCTTCGTGTGTGACTCAAGTATAGAAGTTATTTGTGTTTCTCTTCCCTGTCAGAACACACTTATTGTCAGCATCAGTTACAAAGCAAGCATTCTTTGTAAACTTCACTCTCATCCCAGTGTTACACAGCTGACTTATGCTGATAAGATTGGCTTTCAATCCTTGAACAACTTTAACTTCGGTTAACTTGGGCAGCCCAGCATGATCCAGTATTCCTTTACCAAGAATCTTTCCTTGTTTGCCTTCACCAAACGTAACACTTCCACCGTTCTGTGTTGCTACAAAATCTTTGAGCAGTTCTTGATTTTCTGTCATGTGCCTTGAGCAACCACTATCAAAGTACCAGGTTTCAGTGTTTTCGGTTTGCTCAGTAGTATAAGCAACATTACACATTAGATCTGATTTTCGAATCCATCTTAAGTTCCAAGGAGAATACCCAAAAGAGGGTGTTGAATACCTGGAAATGCCTCTGTTCCTGCTTAGATAGAAATAGTTTCTTCTGAGATGTCCCACTTTACCACAGTGATAACAACATCTGTCTTCTTGACGTCTCCAGTTGGATGGGCGTACTGGTTGTCTTGATGGAGGGTTTTTTCGCTTCATGTCAGGTAGCTCTTGGCTCAAATTACCTCTAGACACAAAGTTAGATCCGGACGAAGACTTTCCTCGATATTCGAGACCAGAATGGTCTCCAGTGTTCCGACCTTGTCCAAGCAGATGATCAAATTTTCCAGTCCCATTTCCAAGAAGATGTAGATTCTTCCTGGTTCCTTCGAGTTGACATTTCATCAACGAAACCTCTTCTTCTTTTTGTGCAAGTTTTTCTTGAGTATCTGTCAGCACGAGTTGAACTTGTTGGAGTTCCTTCTCCAGTTGTTTTTCACTGATCAGTTGCTTATTCATCAACACCAACTTGTTCATTTCTTTGAATAATTCCTCCTCAGTGACTTCTTCTTCATCACTATCCTCTGCTTGATCATTTTCTTCCTCAATGATCCCAAGAAATGCTACAAAGTTGGACAAATTTTCTTAATCACTCTCTTCCTCAGATGAGCTATCTTCATGAGAGATAAAGGATTTTCCTTTCTGTTTGGTACATTCCATCTTAGTATGTCCAAATCCTTTGCATTCAAAACATTGTGTCTCCTTGAGATTCTTTAGCACACTCTCTCTCTTTGCAATACTCGGACACTCAGCCTTCCAATGTCATGTGCCTTTGCATTCCAAGCATTTTCTTGAATCTCTGTCACTTAGTTGTCCAAATTTCTTCTTTCCCTTGAAAAATCTATTGAACTTCTTAATGACCAGTGTCATCTCATCATGTAGCTCTTCTTCAGCCTGTTTTTTATTCTTTACTTGTCTTCTATTCTCCGAATCAATCTCATTAGTTTCAGGGACATGAAGAGCAATACCTTGTCCCTTCTTGGTTGGAACCGACGATCCACCATTCATTAGTTGCAGTCTCAGTTCATGTGCTGCAAATGTTCCAACAGCTTCCTTGAAGGTGACAGTCTCCAGATTGTTTACGCCTTCAAACACCAGAATCTATGAGTGATACTTGGCTGGTAGGCTATTCAGAAGTTTCTTTACCAGCTTGTCATTACTTATTCTTTTCCCAGGTACACTTGCCTCATTCGATAAGGCACTCAACTTCCCACAGATATCCTTAACACTTTCGTCATCTCCCATCCTCAAGCGTTCAAACTGAAGATCTATCATATCCAACCTGTTTCTTTTTACCTTGGATGTTCCTTCATGAATAAGCTCCAAAGTATCCCATGCATCCTTAGCAGTTTCACATCCTTGAATCTGTTCAAACTCTTCATGACACACACTGCTGAAAATGATAGACAGTGCTTTCTGATTCATAGGAGAATCCTTCTTCTCTTGTGGTGTCCATGCGCTTTTCGGCTTCGGTTTAGCAACTCCATCAATGATATCTGTGGGTCGAGTCCATCCATCAGTAACAACACTCCAAGTATCTTCATCCAACCCTCGAATATACGAGCTGATCTTGACTTTCCAGTGTCCATGGTTGGTAGAATCCAACAAGGCAGTTTTTCCAATGGTTTGTAATTCCTTGAAACCTTCCATCGTGTGAATCTGAATCGTACACCGATATGAGAGGACAGCAATTCCTACAATCAGTGACCTGCTCTGATACCAATTGAAAAAATATAATCACACGATTTTGCAAAAGCTCAAAATCCCAAACTGATTCTATTTCTTTGATACGTGTCAAGTACACTTCAACCTTTCCAAGTAGCACTTAACTCACCCGGTCTTACTCCCCCTGAGTAAACCTCTCGTACCACAAGAAATTCTATCAGTTACAAACGCTATGTGTGCAGCGCACACCCCGTGTCACCCTAGACAGCGTCTAGGCCTACCAAGCGGTTCGTCTGTAACTTAAGACTCCCCCTCAGTTACAACTCACGTTCACTCAGAATTCACTACAAAAAAAACCCCAAATTCCAACCGACAAATCCGTTGGAAATGGCCGAAAATCCGTTGGAATTCGACTTTTCCAACGGATTTTCAACGGATATATCCGTTGGAAATCAGTCGTTAGAAATGCAGATCTGTTGGAATTCCGTGGCAAATTCCAAACGGAATTCCAACGCCTTCATCCGTTGGAATATTTCAACGGATTTCCAACGGTTCTTCCGTGGTATATTTTCGACGGAATTCCAACGGATTTATTCGTCGGGATATATCAACGGAAATTCCAACGGACATCCGTGGCTACTTTTCGACGGGACCGTTAGAATATCCGTTAGAAATATTCCAACGGATTTACAACGGTATTTGCCACGGATATCCGTTGGAATTTCCGTTGGAAACGCCGTCGAAATGTTACAACGGTATTTACAACGGCTGTCCGTTGGAATTCAAAATTCTTTCCAACGGCAATCCGTTGGAATGACCGTTGGAAAACACAAAAAAATAAATATTTAAAAATAAAATAAATGTTTTATTTATTTTATTTTTAAATATTTATTTTATTTTTTTTATTTATATTTATATATATTATATATTAATAAATATATATATTAAAGTGCGTCAAAAC